AATAGAATGAACTAATGCCATGGCCCAAGCCATAGCCTGATTTATATTTCAAAACCTTGAATCTCACTAAGACAGTAGCCATGCAGAATATGAACCCAGTAAAGACCAGTCGTGGTTGTTACATTCTTTAGCTGGCATCGCCAAAGCATCTTCTGAATCAGAGTATATTATTTTTTCTGTCTTGTAGAAGAATTGCTCAAGCAGGTTCTTCAGACACCCTGTGGTCACTCAACATGAAGGAGCAGAGACCAGGTCACTAAGCTAATTGTCTGATTAAGAACTATTAAGAGCCATCTGTCTTTGTTCTATAGATGAGAAAACAAAGGCTCAGAACTCATGGCAGTAAACAATGGAGCCAATATTTGTAATCGTCTCTCTTGGCCTCTAAATCCTCGCTCTTTGAAGTTTATCAAACTACCTCCCCAAAAGAGATGAAGAAAAAAATGTGTGTGGAAAGGTACCTCAGGATCAGAGAGCACAGATTCTTGGGTTCTGGGAGGAAGAATTTTATAACTTGAGATCGGTCCTTCCAGATTGAGAATCATGATGTCAAATGGGAACTAAAGTGAGGCAGGAGGACAAAATCAGCACAGGAGAAGAGGGAGGAAGGACTGACAAACACTAGAGGATGCTCCTAGGTAGGGAATGAAAAGGAGAACCAGTGAAGAAACAGGAGACAAGAGGAGAGACAAGAGAAAAAGTAGTTCAAGATGGTGGTTAAGAATATGAAATGCTCCAGAGAAATTTGACTTGACAAAGACTTGGAAAAAGGCCATTTGATTAAATTACATCACCAATGATTCCCTAGAGGAACATGCCAATAAAGCAATGAGCTCAGAAGCCTAGGGAGACACTGGCTTTAAGGAATGAGTGGAAAAGTTACTGAGGATGTTTTAGCACCACGTGTGGTGACCCTGGGTAAGGACAGGGGCTTCAGAGGGCTAGCTGGACTGCAGCAGGGATTGTTAGACAGAAGCATGTGGCTGGCAAAAGGGACAGGCCCAGAGGACATAATCAAGCATCAGTACATTCAGAAACTACTGTGGCTGGAAAAGAAAAGGACTAATGAATTATCCTGAAGTGAAAAAACAGAGAGGCTGGCAAGAGATGAGGGTAAACTGAGAAGTAAAACATAGCCACCAGCTTTAGAAAGAAGGCGAACCCTGCTTTCACCTCAGTGTTCCTTCTATCAGCCGGGAGGAGCATGAGAATGGTCCCCAGGCCAACCCAGGCTTCGGCTGTTGCTTTCCCCAGCCCCTTGCCCACTCTTCTTGCCCCCCATTCTCAAACTCCTCCACCTCTTACTTCTCTGCACCTAAATCCCATGGAGGTGACTCACACAGGGAAGGACAATGGGCCCCTGTGCCTGAGGAGAGGCTCTGCCCTTTCTCCAGCTCCCCAAGAGCATGCTTGGCAGTTTTTCTCTCTTAGGAGACTGCCCTGTTCTTCAGACACACGACGCTCATGAAGGGGCAAAGGGAAAGAACCAGAAAGAAGGGTAGCTAAGGTTTCCAGGCTGCTTGGAGCAGGTGCATTTTCTCCAGTACCTTTAAGAAACACCCACTCAGACTGTAAGATTTGTAAGGAAATATGGAAAAATCCTACTTAGTTCATGTACCACTAGAGTACTCATCAGAGGACTTTAAATGTGGAAAAGAAGAGATTATCTAATCTAATTGAATGGCTTGAAATCTTTTGCTGAGCAGAATGGAAGGAAAATAAACAAACAGTACTTTACATGAACACAGTCACTTCCTTCTCAGGGTGGCCGGGCAGTTGGAGGTGGAGCGAGGGGGAGCCCTTCCACTTCCTGACTGTTGAAGATGCCTCTCTGGTCCACTGACTTCCTTTCCCCACAGATCAGAAGGAAACTCAGCAAAAATGTTAACTTCCAACTTCACCATCCATGTCTCTGGGGACTCTAGCCAGGGCCCGTCAGCCAGTCTGTCTGCAGCTTCCGATTGTCCCCTCTGCAGGGTATGGATTTCTAATCTCTCAGAGGAGCCTCTTCTTCTAATCTAAACACTTGGGAAAATTTCAGCAGCTCAGCAAGTGGAGAGAGATGGAAATAGATAGCTTGAACCCTGACGGACACAGTCATTTGAATGAATAAGAATCCTGGAGTCTCTGATTTGCATTGACCAAGGAAAAATAAGAACCAGGCCACGGCAGACCAGCTTCCATCCTTCATTCTTTTTTCATCCCAGCCTCCAAATAGCTTTTTGATTTTACTCGGGCAGGCTGTTTGTTCTCAGGACTTTTTTCTTTCTTTCTTTCTTATGTGTGTCCCTTCCTTTAGATTTCATAGGTACATGTAATATTTATGTGTCAGTGACCTTGCAAAGTAGTTTTAGAGATTGACTGTTTACATTTAGGAATTTTCTTTAAGGTCTACAAAGTCCTTTGTGCTTTTTCCAGGAAAGGCAGTCAGTAAGAACCAAAACAAACAACTGAATAACACAAGTTTGATTGAAGCCAAATCTCTTTGGAGAGTAAGGAAAAAAAGAACTAGCATTTGTTCCTCTTGTGTCCTTTCTCCTCCTCAACCCAGGCAAATATACCCAGGCCCTTCTTCCTTCCAGCCTGGTTCACAATTACTCGATACGAAATCCTAAGCCTTGTGTTGGCAGTATCTTGGCACTGGGATGTTTTGCAAGGGACACTTCAGAAATGATCCAGAAATGATGAAAACAGTGTTTACTTCACCAAGTCTTTGGGGTACATTTGTCTCTATGACCATAGAGGGTGGAGGACTATATTATAGCTCTGGCCAAATTTCACATGATCCTGGCAGGACTGCGTCTATTATACAGGCCTCTCAAGGATTTGTCACAAGCCAGGATGATGCCTGTAGATGGTATTCAGCCCCAAACAACCAAGTGGACTCAGAGTTGTTCACACCACCCACCACTCTCTTTCCCAGCAAGGTTTGTTCTGTGAAAAAGTCATCATGGGGCAAGTACAAGAACTGTAGACTTGAAAAATCCTATGCTCACAGTTCATCTCTTCTAATTACTAGCTCTTTGATTTGGAGCAAGTTACATAATCTGGATGAATCTCAGTTACCCGGGTTGTAAAAGAGTGATAATGATACCTATCCTCTAGAAGAGCTGTGAGGATTAAATGAGATGATAAATGTAAAAGCTCCTGGAATACTTCCTTGGTATATACATAATCAACATATTTGCCTTTCTCTATGTATGCCACAAAGATCTCTGAGATCTTTATTTGAAAAATAGCATAAATCCAAAACATTGAACCTTTTGGATATCATGTGCTGCAAATCAAACCTCCGCTAAAAATGGAATTGACTTGCAGCTTTGAGGCTGACCTACAAAACTGATAACTTTCCTAAATGGAAGTGACTCTTCCCATGGTTCCTGCCACAGTAATGAGGAGTCCACCCCTCCAGAATGGTGACTGCTGCATAGTGACTATGTAAACCAAACTAACCTGAATCCCTCTCCCACCCAAAATGTTGGTGTTTCTATGGCTTCTCGACACTTAATAACAGAAATGACAGGGTAGGATTCTCACAGAACAGACTGTTGCACTAGAAGTTTGAAGTCATGGGATATATGAAAGGACAACAAAGTGTTACTTCATGAATGTACAATAATATTAACCTTTCTTTTCTTCTACCTTTGTAAGGATTAAGTGTGATATTACATAACATGCTATGTCCACTAGCTAGCAGCTAGGGTGTCCAAAAAGTTGAAACTCCACCTCTACCCATCCTCCAAGCCACTTAGTGAATTCTGTACTTTTCTGGTCTATGGGCATTTTTATGGTAAAAATTCATACTTAAGAGAACAGCAGTTTTGCTTAGAATACTTAAAAATGAAATTTTAGCTTTTAAGAAACCCAAAAATCTTACTAATAAATATGACTTTCCAATAGGCTTAAAATATTTCTAAGACTTTTTAAATTAAAAAAAAATCCAACTGCAGAGCAGAGTAAAATCAAATGAGGGCTATATGTCCATCCTGATTATGCTTCTGTACTAAGGATTAGTTAATTTGAGTGTGAAGACTTTTTCCTACAACTGGATTAAAAGTGATACATCTTTTCTTTATGAGGGTCAAAAGAATAATCCGATCACTAACCCACAGAGAAGAGAAATATTTGTTTAATAAGTGAATGAATGTTCCTATGGAGTTGGAATGAGAAGAAAAGAGAGGTTTTAGGATACAATACTGAATTATTTCAATGAAATCTCTTTGCTGAAAAACCTGGGACTGAGGCACTAGCTTTCCAGAGAGAAGGCCTCTGTTGTATTTCAGGTCCAAGATGTGGTGTGTGTGCTCCACTTTAGGTAAGGGGCAGTGACCCTGGATTCTTCACCAGGACTTCAAGCAAACCACAGGTTGAAAGATGTGAAGGAAAACCTGAAAGGATGTGGACTGATTTAGCCCAGAGAAGAGATGGCTAAGGTGGGCTATCACAGAAGAGCCTTCAAAGATTAGAAAGGACAACACTTAAAATATGCTTAAACCAAAGCAAAGTGGATTTAGGTTAGGCATAACAAGGATTTTTGTTTGGTGGCGGTAAAAAACACATCAGTGATAAGTACATACTCATTGGTGTGCAATAAAAAGGATTTTTCGACAGTGAAGTTAATAAAAATGTTGGATTTCTCTCTCAGTGTTCATCTCTTTCTCTTTGCAAGAGTACAGAATTTCCTTCTTTGAAATTTTGAAAAATAGCTCCCATTCTGAGTCCTGAAGGGCTGGGAGAGATGATCTCTTCAGGATTCCTGTCACCCAGACTCCATGGTGAGGCAGTGATATGGCCGGCCCAACAGTGAGGTGAACATACTAATGAGAGTATGTGTACTCTGCCTTGGACAAAGTTAGAGATGTATGGTTATGCTGAAAACAAACTCCAGTTCTTATAAAACTCTGACTCCATATCATTGGATTTCTAAGCTGGGGGGGATTATAAATTTGCTTTAACTGAAAGCCTCTAGAATAAATGCAGCTCTGTACTGCTAATTTTACCTTGGGTTTATATGCATTCAGCATTGACATCTCTACATTTTGACCTCTGACGTGTTTCGGTTGCCTCTGGACAGGTGGTGACGATGATTTCTGGTTATTGCGGCAGACACAGATGAAGAAGAAGAGTAAAGCAATAGCCAGAGGAACAGCAACGCTTGGCACCAGTATGTACAAGATTTCCATTTTATTCTTCTCCTTGGAATCTTTTGAATCTGGGTGCAGAGATGAAAAAGAGCAAAGTTATAAGAGTTCAAATAACATGTATAAAGTTACTTTGCGTAGTTTAAAATGACCTCCTATTCCTCTATACACACAAACCCACTTGAGAAAAAGAGAACCATAGCTTATTACAATTTGTTTCTATCAAACCTTCAACATAATTTATCAAAGTTTAAAAGTTTAAAGTTCAAATGTTTAAAAGTGCAGAGGGACATTATGAAGACTTTGCATGTGTTTGGGTCCCCCTCTGATGTTGCCTCCCTTTAGTGGGAGACCTGCATATCTCTAACACTTTAAAAGTTAAACGCTGTGGGAATGGACTGTATACACGTAAAAAGCGTTAACATGGACCACAGGGCTCTTCTTCCACTGGCTGCCAGACCAGGTCAACCACCACAATGTGGTGGGCCAGAAATCATGCCCCCAGTGTGGCTGGTTTGGACATTCAGGGCCAGACCTGTATCTTCCAGAATCAACATCATTAAAGAATCCTGGCCCCAGTGTCCACAAGCCACAGGCCTGAGAGTATGGGGGTCTGAAGTCAGGGCAGCTCAGTCTCTGATGAGCTGTGTGACTTTGAACAATCATTCACCTCTATGGGCCTTACATTTTCTCGTCTGCAAAAGTGAAGTATCTATTTTGCATGGTGTCTGAAATTCCCTCCAGCACGGCACCACTATATAACCTGACACTCTTTTGAAACCTAAGAACTCTTCTTAAATGGTTTTGTATGAACCCAGTAATTATGAGAACTAACAGTTTAAGGTATATTTTTGAAATCTTATATATCCCCTGAACCATTGCTTAGAAGAGAATATCATATGTATAGAAGGACATGAGATATAGTTTTCCTTTTATCAGTTTGAGTCTGCCCTACATACTTAGGGCATATACTATCATTAATGAGTTACCTGACTGGTAAAACAAACACAAGAATTAAAGGGATTAAGTAATGCATGGCTTGGTCACCAATAACTACATCAGTTATCATGCTTTAAAAAAATCTTAAGTGTGAAAATTCAGATGGACACAAAATTCAGAGATGATTATTTACTTAACAAAAGAGTCAACCATGTGTCCATGCACTTATCCTCTCACTTGTTCAGTAAGTCAGTAAACAAAAGCTACTACTGCCAAGCACTATCCTAAGTGCAGGAATATAAAATTATATACGACATGTCCTTTGCCCTTAAGGAGCTCATGGTCTGGTAAGGAAAACAGAGGAGAAGCAATTACAGCATGTTGGAGATGCTATGAGGGAAGTACGAATAGAATGGTGAAGAGGCCTCCAACGTCCCACTGGAGCTTTCCTTGTACATGTGAAGGAGAATATACTCTGCAGAGGGTTTGCTCCTTCTTTAGGAAACTCTTGATCAGTGAGATAGAGCAGTCACTCATCACTCTGCTTTCTCCCCACACAAACAGACTCAACACAAGAAGTTAGCAGAGGACACTAAACCTGGGTGGTGGGACTGTGCTCTGTGGGTCAACCCTCAGAGGTGGTTGGAGAGGAGTAAAATCTGCTCATTGAATAAACATAACATTTTAATATTTACAGAGTGTTTTCTACTGGCACAAAATCTTATTAGCTATTATTATTAATATGGGCCAGGTACTATTTGAAGTGCTTTCCACGAACTCATTCATTTTATCCTGACAACCAAGCCTATGAGGTGGGTGTCAACCTTATCCCCATCTTTACAGGTGAGGAAGTTGAGGGACAGAGTGGTTAAGTAATTGGAAGGACATGCAGTAAAGAAAAGCTGGGACTCCTTCCCCTCACCCCTCCTGCTCTAGCTACTATGCTACACTGACCATAACTTGAGAATGGCTGTTGTTTTGCACCTATTTTTCTCTTGGTAGGATTTCTTGTTTCACAGAGGTAGGAAAGATGAGGGAGGTCTGAAGGTGAGGAATACCACTGATGCTTTGCCAGAAATGCTGCTTTTGAATTCCCCACTTTATAAACAGTGGCAGATAAACATAACCCAGGCATCTCTGGAAGTCATTGTACTCATTCTAGTCATTAGGAACTTAGTCTCCGCGCTTTAACAACAATTATATCTACATGTTTGTGTTTGGATAGAAAGAAAGCACATGGAAGAGTATCTACCACAGGGCCTGGCAGATTATCTGTCTATCATCTATCTGTGCATCCATGCATCCATGCATCCATGCATCTACCCATCCATCCATCCATCCATCCATCCATCCATCCATCCACCCATCCATCCATCCATCCATCCATCCATCCATCCATCCATCCATCCATCCATCCATCCATCCATCCATATATCCACTTTAGAGACAATGTAGCAGAGTTAAGGCAGGCATGTTTTAGAGTCAGACTGCAGATCACCTTTATCATTATCTATGTAACCTTCAGCCCCACTGAGCAAACTCATCTGTAAAATGGGAATGGTAATACCTCTTTCATAGAATTGTTAGAAGTAATAAATGAAGTAAAATGGAAACTGTTTTGTACCTGTGACAATTGAATTTCTCTTAGTGTTTCCCCCTTACCCTTAGGTAGGAAAGGATTCAGAGCTAAAGGCTTTGGGTTGGGAATCTTAAGTAATCTTCAGCAAGCAATAAACTCTTTGACCTCCATCTCTTCATTTATTCAAGGGGAATAATAATATCTGCTCTACCAATCTTATTTGGGTCATGTGAGAGAGAATGTTTATGAAAGAACCTCGGAAAATCGAAAACTACTACACAGTTATTGGATGCTATGATTATTATTAACATTATAAAACACTTTTAAATTTCTCAGTACCCTGGTGGGGGAGAAATCCCTCGTGTTATTCTTGGATTTTCAGTGAAATCATTATAGGGATAATGATTACAAAAGGAATGAGGCTAAGTTAGTACTAATGTAATGCTAGTCATTTTTCTGGCCCAGATTTTTTAGCAACAAGAGAAAGGAGGGCTTTCACCTGTCTGGCAAACAAAGGAGTCTATTTTGTACTCATTCCGTATCAGATTATTCATGCCTTTGATTGTAAACTGGGGGTGGGGGACAAATCCCCTGTAGGTTTGCAGGAGAATAAACTTCAAGAAGCTAAATCCTTTAAACATAGTAAAACTTAGCTCCTTCCGATTTACACTGAGGGAATGTAAACGAGCACAATGTCTTCTTGCCAAGTGAAATAATCAAGCAGAACAATACATGGTCATGTTGGAAGTGACAGGACACATTCAAGCCTATTGTAAGTCTACGATACAACATGCTTACTTTCCTACACAGCTCTCTGCATTTGACCAGATGGCAGTCAGTGACTGACTCAGAACACTTTATATGAAAATGTTCCATAGAACAACTACACTTACTCATGGAAAACTAGAAAACAAACATTTGTCCAACTTCTTTTTATTGTCCTACCATTTTTATGCATCATTTTAATCCAGTGCTTGGTGTTATCCTGATTTTGCACATAGAGAAACAGATGCTGAGAAAGAGCAAATTGACAAAGCTAGAAAGTGGTGGAGTTCAGATTAGATGCAGGCCTGTCTGCCTTCAATGCTGCTTTGCTTTTCAAATTATATTACTAATAAAAATTAAAATACTATATAGTAATATTATAAGTATCTTTGTATGTTGACAGAGGGTAACTATACTTATCATGTACATTTAGTAGTGTAAATAACTACCCAATCACTATGGTGTATACCTGAAACACATATCATATTCTTTATCAACTACATTTCATTAAAAAAAACAAAACACTGGTTTACCATGAGAAAAAAGAAACTATATGGAATTGTTTTTCAGCATACTCCTTAAAATTCCGAGATTCCCTCGCAATGATGGCTAGTAACTGGTATCAACTATCAAAAAGAATCACATTAGAACAATGGAAATTATTCTTACTATTCACTTTAAAGAGTGATGAACATTTCCAATGAATGCACTGCAAAGAAAACTGGCTGAAAATCAGAGTGCTGAAGATTTTTTAATACTTTGGAATAACTGTTTGAAAATAAAATACACATATTAGTTACATCAACTTAAATACTTAGGATTTTTGAAACCAGCAATTTAGCCTGGATCACATGATCGATTTCCTTTTAAAAATCAAAAATTTGGTATCACAGTTCACATCTGACATTCCTATTTTATTTTTACAATGATACGCAATACTTTGATTAGTAATTAAATATAATGAAGAAAATACTCCTTTCTTATCCTGGGACCTAAAGCAAGGTAAACAGGATTTCTCATTCAAGAGGTGCTTTTGTAAAGTGAAACATCATCTGGGATATTACTTGGAGTTAAAATAAGAAAACTCTCAGACCTTAAATATGGCAAAGTTGGGAAAACCCATACAGAACCTTGGAATTCAAAGTAAATTAAACAACTTAAATTAGGGCCTTGTCTGAAAAAGTGTTAGAAATAATAGAAAACAAACAGGAATCACTACCATTTATTATGTGAAAATCACAACATAAGAGGGTCTACAACAGATAGGAGCCTGCACCCGGGATCTGTCAGCCACCAGCAGGAAGCCAAAGGGGAGAAGGTGGTGACTAGGCCTCGAGCGGGTGTGCTGGGCTCGGACATTTGCTTCTTAATGATGCAAATACTAAGTATGCGACCTATTGCCTTAGGTATTCTCAAATGAATTCTTAAAAGACTCTGATACACCAAATACAGCGATTCAGTTTTTTTCTCTTCAGAAAATGTTTTACCCACAGTTAAGTTAGGGGTAATAACTCATTTGACAGTACTTGAGAAAATCTTAGTAACTTGAATCACAGGAGTTCAGTAGATGTTTCTATAAATTCTCAGGGCCTCAGTTTTCTCCACGACAAAAGAAAAGAGTTGGGCTAATTTTAAAATTTTTAATTAAAAAAACTAATGGTGTTAAAGAAACACATAAAATTTATCATCCTAACCATTTTTAAGTGTACAGTCAATTGTGTTAAGTACATTCACATTGCTGTACAACAGATCTCCAGAACCTTTTCATCTTGCAAAATTGAAAGGACC